TCCATTAAAACTTTTTCAAGTGTGCTTCATTTTGATAAATACATTCCACATTCTATTACTTGTTCTTTCTCCTCACTATCCCCCCCATTGTAGACTTGGATCTGGGTAGTAGTACCTTAAGTTAATTTACTATTTAAACCACCACATTTTTTAGGTTCTCAGGCAGCTTTTATATTGTCTTGACTCCCTTTTGTACTATTTTCCCCAACATAACTAATATCAGAAATAATTCCTATAACTTTAAAAACTTTTTATGCTGGTTACTTACATTTACATGTGATACCTGAAATTAAAATTACTATCAATACTCGACTTAGCATTGGAAACATGTAAGTTTGAAGTCTTTTTCTTTGGTAAAAAATATTAGAGAGACTATAATGTTTTGAGTTCAATTTAAATGAGGAATCTATTTTAAAGTACTTATAGCAGCATGGTGTAGGTTTAAACAAGCACAGGATTGGCAATTAGGAGATTAAGATTCCAATTTCCATCTCTGCCACTAATAATGTTTCCATGCTCCTAATTAGTTAAGTAAATTATGGCTTATTTTCTTCTACCTATAATAAGAATTGGACTCAATATTTTAAGTCTCTTCTAGTTTTAAAATTCCACAGTACTAAGAGGTGAACGCTTTTATATCTGTTTATTTTTAAAAAGAATGCTCATTGGCTATCTAACTCCTTACAAAGGTACATTTAAATTCCATCATTATTAAGCACTTACTATGTGTGTCAGCCATCTTAAATCCATTCTGGAATAAGGCAAGAGAAAAACAAGCAAAATAAATCTGCATGCATTTGATGCCATTGAACTATATACTTAAAGTTAGGTGATATATCTTTATTACCCACAGACACTACATACATACATACATATACATATATATATATATATATATATATATATATATATATATATATATATATATATATATATATATATATATATATATATATATATATATATATATATATATATATATATATATATATATATATATATATATATATATATATATATANTGATGTACTCTGCATATAAGTTAAATAAGCAGGGTGACAATACACAGCCTTGATGTACTCCTTTCCTGATTTGGAACCAGTCTGTTGTTCCACGTCCAGTACTAACTGTTGCTTCTTGACCTGCATACAGATTTCTCAGGAGGCAGGTCAGGTGGTCTGGTATTCCCATCTCCTTCAGAATTTTCCACAGTTTGTTGTAACCCACACAGTCAAAGACTTTGGCATAGTTAATAAAGCAGAAATAGATGTTTTTCTGGAATTCTCTTGCTTTTCTGATGATCCAGTGGATGTTGGCAATTTGATCTCTGGTTCCTTTGCCTTTTCTAAATCCAGCTTGAACATCTATAAGTTCACAGTTCGCAGTACTGTTGAGGCCTGGCTTGGAGAATTTTAAGCATTACTTTACTAGTGTGTGAGATGAGTGCAATTGTGCAGTAGTTTGAACACTCTTCGGCATTGACTTTCTTTGGGATGGAATGAAAACTGATCTTTTCCAGTCCTGTGGCCACTGCTGAGTTTTCCAGATTTGCTGGCATATTGAGTGCAACACTTTCACAGAATCATTTTTTTAGGATTTGAAATAGCTTAATTGGAATTCCATCACCTCCACTAGCTTTGTTTGTAGTGATGCTTCCTAAGACCCACTTGACTTTGCATTCCAGGATGTCTGGCTGTAGGTGAGTAATCACCCCATTGTGGTTATCTGGGTGGTGAAGATCTTTTTATATAGTTCTTCTGTGTATTCTTGCCACATTTTCTTAATAGCTTCTGCTTCTGTTAGGTCCATACCATTTCTGTCCTTTATTGGGCCCATCTTCTCATGAAATGTTCCCTTGGTATCTCAGATTTTCTTGAAGAGATCTCTAGTCTTTTCCATTCTATTGTTTTCTTCTGTTTCTTTGCATTGATCACTGAAGAAGGCTTTATCTCTCCTTGCTATTCTTTGGAACTCTGCATTCACATGGGTGTATCTTTCCTTTTCTCCTTTGCCTTTCGCTTCTCTTTACTCAGCTATTTGTAAAGCTTTGTCAGAAAACCATTTTGCCTTTCTTTTTCTTGGGGATGGTCTTGATCACTGCCTCCTGTACAATGTCACAAACCTCCATCCATAGTTCTTCAGGCACTCCATCTATCAGATCTAATCCATTGAATCTATCTGTCACTTCCACTGTATAATCATAAGGGATTTGACTTAGGTCATACCTGAATGGTCTAGTGGTTTTCCCTACTTTCTTCAATTTAAGTCTCAATCTGCAATAAGGAGTTCATGATCTGAGCCAGAGTCAGCTCCCTGTCTTGTTTTTGTTGACTGTATAGAGCTTCTTCACCTTCAGGTGCAAAGAATATAATCAATCTGATTTCAGTGTTGACCATCTGGTGATGTCCTTGTGTAGAGTCTTCTCTTGTATTGTTGGAAGAAGGTGTTTGCTATGACCAGTGCATTCTTTTGGCAAAACTTGAGCATAAACTCAGGCTTCATGGTGGCTCACTGGTAAAGAATCTGCCTGCAATGCAGGAGACTTGCAGGAGACACAGGTTCAATCCCTGGGTTGGGAAGAAAGGAAATGGCAGCCCACTCCAATATTCTTGCCTGGAAAATCCCATGAACAGAAGAGCTTGACATGTATGTGTATGTATATGCATACATACACATATATCTGAATTCAGTGGGACTCTAACATTTCATAATTGTCATTTAAAATTGCATTACAGTTTTGGATACAAGTTGGTTTCTCCAAAGGACTCAATCACTTTGGGGACAAAGACTTTCTTAATCCTAGCTGTAGCTCCAGGATCTAGAACACTGTCTGGCTCTTACAGGGAGGACATTCATATTCTGGCTTTGCCAAGTGTTTGATGTATTTTAATTATAATTTTCAACCAATCAATGTAATAAACATGTTGCTACTGTTTAGTTGCCAAGTAGTGTCCAAGCCTTTGAGAGCCCATGGACTGTAGCCTGCCAGGCTCCTCTCTCCAAAGGATTTCCCAGGCAAGAATACTGGCATGGGTTGCCATTTCCTTCTCTAAGAGCTCCTTCCCACCCAGGGATCAAACCTACATTTCCTGCTTAGTAGGCGGATTTGGGCGAATTCTTTACCACTGAGCCATCTGGAAAGCCCAACGTATTAAACATATGAAGAGTTTTTAAACTTCTGAAATACTTATCAGAAAAAATCTTTATCATGTGGAGTTCAGAAAACATCATCAAAGAACACTAGACCTTCTTCAAATGTTTGTAAACAAATGCGTTAGACTTTAGAAGACAAAAAGATAAACCTAAGCCCTAGCCTCAGCCCAACAGATCTTACATGCAGCAATAAAAGTTCAGGACAGCGTACTTAAAAAGTATGCTAATGAAGCCATCCTTCAAGTAGCTATCTAACTAAATAATCCCTATCACTTTCCTTAAATAGCTTTTAACAAAGCCAAGGTGTCTCAGCCTCATGTAATAAAAGTCACCCAGTTGCTTAGAATATCCATCCATTCACTGCTCAGACAGAAGCTAAGGGTTGGAGATTTTATTGACATTCCTGAATACCATAGTGTCATTTCTTGAGCCCAAACTTAAGACTATCTAACTCTAGGTTACTAATAGACAGGTTATCTTGGATGTTTACTACACCAGGGAAAGCTGGCTTTTTCCCATTCATGAGGGTAAAACCGTCCCACCTCCTTCACTTTAGATTCAGTTAAACAATTCAAGAAACCAGTTAATTAAATTCTAAGCTCAGAGGGATACTACAGCCCAAACCATAGTGCAGCGGTAATCGGTCTGCCAAGGCAAAAGAGATTCAAGAGAGGCGGGTTCGATCCCTGGATTGGGAAGATCCCTTGGAAGAGGAAATGGCAACTCACTCCAGTATTCTTGCCTGGAAAATTCCACGGACACAGGAGCCTGGCGGGCGACGGGTCCATGGGATTGCAAAGAGTCCGACACGACTGAGCGCGCGCGCGCGCGCACACACACACACACGAAACCACAGTGCAGCGCTTGGGAAATGGTATCTTTAAAACACCGTGCATTAAAAGTACACACACACACACACACGCGCACACACACACACACACACACGCAACCATAGTGCAGCGCTTGGGAAATGGTATCTTTAAAACACCGTGCATTAAAAGTACACACACACACACACACGCGCACACACACACACACACACACGCAACCATAGTGCAGCGCTTGGGAAATGGTATCTTTAAAACACCGTGCATTAAAAGTTGCCAAAGGTCGACAGCCGCTAACACGTCTCGAAATGTACAGACCACACCCAAGTTTCACCAGCTGAGCACCTTACTGGTCTCTGAGCGGCGCAAAGCAGAAGAGAGAGAAAAACCCAAGTTAATCGTTTGGGCTGCGGAATAATCTGTAAGGTTTGAGTCTCGAAACTTTTGGGGTTGTGGAGATTAGAAAGGGATTCCTTTGCGTTAGGCCTAAACTTGGGCTAGAAAAGAGAAAGGAGGCCTGGCGAAAAGGAAAGGAGTAGGCTCCCGACTTCCAGCGTTCTCGGCAGGGCCGTTAAACGCAGCAGGAAAGCGGGCGTGTGTTTTCTTCCTCCATTTCCCGCCTCCCAGGAGACGCGAGCCCAAGCCCGTTCCCCTCCTTTACACCCCGACGGGGTCCAATGGCAGTCCCCGCCGCGCAGTCGCGTCGGAAGCCAACCCGCCCTTGGGGTCCCCTACGCCCCACCTTCCCAGCCCGGCGGGAGGCTGGGGGCGGGGGGGGGGGGGGGGGGGGGGGGGGGGGTGGCGGCCGTGGCCGTCACGTGACCTGGCTGCCGCCAAGTGAGGCCGCTTTTGCGACGAGGTGACAGCCAAATGGTGCGACAGGAGGAGCTGCCGCTGCGGCCGCACCGCCCTGCACCGAGAGGCTCAAGGCGGCTCCTGGCGTCGCCCAGAGGCAGCGACTGAGCAAGGGAGTCCGGCGCAGACGGGCGGGCGAGCGGCGGCGGCGGGCGGCGAGGGGGAGCCCGCTACGAGTACCCTCGCTCCCCGCCGCTCTCCATGAACCCGGCGAAATAAGCCGCGCCTCCAGCAGGGGCTGCGCCTCCATGAATCCCTAGGTTTTTTCTTTCTCTCCCTGCTCCTCACCCCCACCCCGGATCCCGTCCCGCCTTCTCCCTTCGCCGGCAGCGGCTGCGTCCAGGTGCGGAGTCCAGAGCGGATCGCAATGGCGTCCAACCCCGAACGGGGGGAAATTCTGCTCACCGAGCTGCAGATCATTTTCCCTCCTGTTTGAATACCAGAAAAAGAGCTACAGAAGTTGTTTACAAAGGGCAAAGCAGTCGACTCAGGGAAAATGTTGGGCACCACATGCTTGCTGAAGATGAGAACAAAATAGATCCCTTAATTAGTTAAGTCCACGTTGAGTAGCAATATTATTCTTTCCATTTTCCAGCTAAATATTTGATGATGTAGGCATGATTTTTGTTTTTAGATCTCTATGATGTGCGCTACCTTGTAGAGTTTATTTTTTTACTTTGGAGTGTACCAGAGATGTTTACATCTGGATTAAAGTTTCATGCTTGTTCTGTGACTTAAACTTATTTTGGTTTGTTTAAATATAGTCGTTTTCTAGCTACTCGAAGATTGAGATGGAAATTAAGAGAAGAAAAAAATAGCCCACTTACATTGATTTGTGTGTGTGTGTGCTGGGCAATTAATTTTTTTGAGAAGACTTAATCTAGGCACCCTGAAGGATTGATTCTTAATTTCAAAATTCAGTTGCTTCTACATTTTTTGCTGTTTAAATATATTTTTCGGTAAAATCCTGTATTAGTTGATTTATTGTACATTTAGATGTAAGCTTGACGGCACTGTTGTAATACTTGATATATCCTCCATAAAAATAGAAATTTCAATAAGGTGTATCAGTGCACGTTTGTGAATTTGGAATCCTTTAGAAACGCACAGCTGAATTTCATATTATTGAACATGTTGCTGTATAGTGTTTTAATTACTCTTAGCTTTTTCTAAGGAGGTCTTACAGCATACTGGTTTGCTGAATGAATGGAATTTGTTTTATTACTTTACATGAGCTTTTGAAGTGAAGTTTGAGGCACAAATTGGAAATGCTTTCCATTATCTAGTCTTGAAATATGAAAAGCATACTAATGACTTAAAAAAACCTTGAAAATGACAGGAGAATTTTCATTGAGTAGAGTGGCTTCAGAATCATAAAGTATTTGGTATCCTTATTTGTATTTATAGAAAGTTGACATAAAAGATAAGATTTAGGAACTTTTGATAAGACCATTTTTTACAGTAACAAAGAAGCATGTTAAATAAATGGGAATATTTAAACATGAGTATTTTAAAATGGGACCAAAGCAGGGGAACATCCAATCTAAAGCTACACTTTTAAATAAGCTAAAATATAATCCCTCCAGAAAAAGAATAGTTTCTATTAAATGTTGCTGATAGGTTGTCATGTATATCCAGGGCAGTTTTCTTGGTATACTTGACTCCTACTTCTAATAAAGGTTATTGCATTTGAACTTTATCATGTTTATTAAAATAATTGAGAATAGTATTTATATCAGTACTCAAGATAAACCATGATAAAATTTGCTTCACAAGTATTATGCATCTGTTTAGACATTGTGTTATTTCATTGGGTTATGAAACTAGAATATAGTAACCAAGTATTTATCAAACTTGTTTGGAGAACCAATTTTTAAAAACCTTCTAAGTTGTTTGAATTTATTTAAATTGAAAAGTTGTTCAATGTGAGGTTCTTAATGCTTTTCTGCTGTACATATTTTAAGTATTTAAATAGTAATTTGTGTAGCAAATTTTTAAATTGTTTAGTTGAAAACTGTTACTTTCCCTTATCTTATCTCACTGAAAATTACATGTTACAGCCTCTTTTAATGAAATTGATATTTATTTAGAAATATTGTATATCCAACTTTTAAAAATTTATTTTTCAAATTATATTGCAGAATTTGAAATACTTTACTACTTGAGATGAAACCAATAACTTTTGGTTATGAAAAGACAAAGAAAACCTGAACCCAGTCTTCTTAATTACTTTAATAATTCTGTATAATGTTTCTCACTCTTGTTAGTCATTTAGGAGGCTAATTCAGCAAGGAATCATTAATAAAGTATACACAAACTTTGATGGCTGGAGGCTTTAATGTGTAAGGAAGAATATTTGCTGTGATAAAAACAAAAATAGGCTGTTAAAAAATATAAACTTGGTTGGCAATTTCTAATTAATTATCTCTTATAATTAACGTCCTGTTCTCTTGTTTTTTATTTGAAGTGTAGTGGGAAAATTAGTGAGATACTTTTGTGAAGCCAAAGAAATTAAAAGTTTAATACCATGAAAACTGAATTAATCAAAACTATATAAAGAATCTCAAAATGAAAATGTTGGCTGTCACAGTAACTTTGTACAGTGCAGACTCAAATATTGAGTAGCATACTAATAAAATTACCTGGTTGATTATTGGAAATTCATCTTCATCAGAATGGTTAATAAAGTGTTGGGAATCTTAAGTTCCCTTCTAAGCAGAATTTGTTTAGGTAGAGGTGACTTGCTTAAGTGGAAGGTTGAGTTAATTAGTCTTAAGTTACAGGGATTCATTTCAAGAAACATTTAGCTACCAAAGGTATATCAGAGGGCATAAAGATGACAGGATATGGCTTTCACTTTCTACAGGAAAGTAAAAAAACATTTCTTGATTATCTGCACTATGTCAAACATTGTACTTGGTACCCTGTGTACTTTATATAATCTTGGAAACCATCCAGTAAAGTTAATGTTGTTATTTCCATTTTACAGATCAGGAAACTAAGTTCAGAAATAGTAAGTCATTCATGTTCACACTGTAAGTCTTGAGTTTGAGTTTGGATTTATATTTTTCCCACTATACCATTTGTAATATGTGGACCCATAAATAAATGTTTTGTATTCTGATGTTGTAAATATGTGAACTTTCTAAAAATTGGCCCAGAATATAGTTAAAACAAAGCTAACTTTAATATAAACTTCCCTTTGTTTGGTTCCCCCTATAACAAGGAAAAGTGATTTCCACATTTAGTTAGGTCATTTAACAGTACTTTTATTACTGCAGATAAGGTGTAACATTCTATAAAGAATAACAGGTCAAATAACCTTCTTTGCGGGTTTTCTTCATTTAACAATTACTGTTTCTGATGAAAGTTGTCAAATGTTTGCTCAAAACTTTTCAAAAGATTTCATATTTCTCTGTAGACTGTCCATAAGATACTTTGCTTTAAAAATTTAAGCTATGTAACCTGGCTATGCGTTTGCACTGAGTGAGTACTCAGTACATTGATGCAAAGGTTCAGCTTGTCACCTAGGATGAGAAATGTCTTGACTGTTAAAAGTTGCTTATGATTACTTAATTTTCTTTAATTTACATAGCTAATCCCTTGTCCCCAGAATATTCCCTTATAAAGTTCAAAAGGATTTCTGCACTAGTTATGTTAAATCTACATATAGCACCCTCTTATTTTACCCATTTGATGGGAAATTAGGAGGTGACATCTAATTTTGCAGTGATACTGAAAAGTAGACGGTGTCTGTGTTGTGAGGATTAGGACTTTAGTGTGAGTTGGAGGAATGTAGTATGAGAATGTAGGCACATGGGTAAGACAAGTTTCACAGCTTTTTTCCAGTTATGAGTATAATACAGGTTTATTCTAGAAAATCAGGAAAGTGCAGAAAAGCACAAAGAAAATAAAATGTGCTCATAGTCTCATAGTTCTATCAGTCAGTTAACTGACAAACTTTTTCAACTTATGAGTCCCAGGGCATTTGAGTTCATTTCCTCTTTTTCCTCCCTTTTATTAAAAAAAGAGAGGGAGGGGGAGACATTTGACATAGAATGTGTAATTTTAAGGTATACAGCATATGATTTGTTATTTTTTCTTCCTTCTATATCTTGTATTACTGACTAGAAATTTACAGAGAAATGAGGTTCATAGAGTTTTAAGACAGAAATAACTATAAGTTAAAAATTGCCACTAGTTCTCGTAAATGGATCTAATTAGTTTTATTGACTGTTTTTGTCTCAAAATATTTTGATTTTGAGTAAGTCTTTGTGCTGAAACTAGTATTATAAACTGATAGCTCTAAAATGGTCATGTTTTCTTATTGTCTCTGTAGTTCTAGTCTCCTTAGAGCTCCTGCTGTTCACAAATGATCAATATACTTTAAAAACTTTTTAGTTTTTATATATGTATTTTTGGCTGTGCTGGGTCTTTGTTGCTTTGTGAGAGCTTTCTCTGGTTGCTGCGAGGCGTTGTGGTGTGTGCAGCACAGACTCCAGATGCTTAGTCGTGGGCTTAGTCGCTCCACGCCATGTGGGGTCTTCACAGACCAGGGATCCAACCCACATCCCCTTTGTTGGCAGGTGGATTCTTATCCACGGAGTCACCAGGGAAGTCCTGTTTTCAGTGTTGAATAGGGAAAGGTAAGGGGCACTTTCAAGGTGTTTTCTGTTGGCCCCAGAGCTTTGCATCTGATTCCTTGGGCTCTCCTCTTTGCTTTTTAAATTTGGCAACAGTAAATTTTCATGCCTTTTATCAGGTAGTTCCTCTGTGTCTACTTTTAAACAAATGGGAGTAGTGGAGTGGTAGTTTGTAGAGATGAGTATCACTTAAAATAATGTTACTTCCAGACGCATATATGATATGTGAATAGAGTAGTTAATTTTGCATCATTTTCTAGTATTGTGTTCTATGTTAAACAATTGTCAAGTGTCTACTGTTTTTCAGAAACCCATATACTCTAGAGTATGACAAAATCATGTGACATTTCATATGGTTATATACAGCAGAGTTCAAACTTTGCAGCAAAGAAAGTCAAAACTAGTTAAAAGCTTTAAAAAGATATGTAAAATCTTGACTGGAAAAAAATATACTAATGGAAAAGTAAGCTTCTAATGTTTTACAAAAGCAGAAATAGAGAACATTTATTTTGATACATGTCTAGATTCCCTTAATTTTATCTCATGAAATCTTATTTGAAGCTATCTCTCTTGTCACATTTAGTTTTTTACAATCTCAGAAACATTAAATTTTTGTAACAGTATATACATAACTATTGTCTGTTAAAAATGAAGAACAGGAAAGCCTGAGGAATGTATTTGGTGATGATAATAAATACCTTAGATCCGAAGGTAACATCTGAAGGTAACATCATTTAGACATCAACATCTAAATGTTGATGTCATGTTATAG